CAGGTTCCAGAACAAGTCTCTGTCAGGTCTCAGGTTCCAGAACAAGTCTCTGTCAGGTCTCAGGTGTGAGAACAAGTCTCTGCCAGGTCTCAGGTTCCAGAACAAGTCTCTGTCAGGTGTCAGGTTCCAGAACAAGTCTCTGTCAGGTCTCAGGTTCCAGAACAAGTCTCTGTCAGGTCTCAGGTTCCAGAACAAGTCTCTGTCAGGTCTCAGAGCTAAACGAATCTGATTAATTAGATGTTTTAGTTCAGTTTAAATCACTTCTGAGAGTCTGATAAAAACCAGGATTATTCTTTCTGTGAATTTAAATTTCAGAGCAGAAATCGATCGTCTGCGTTCAGAATCAATTCAGAGTAAATTGGGCTCATTTAGCAGAGTGAAGTAAACGAGATGTTTATCTGCACTGATTAAAACTAATGACTGATTTATTTTCTCTCAATGTTAACGAGGTCGTGTGAGCAGAACTCAGTCTATCTGGACTCTAACAGAACCTTTCAGTTCGCCAAACAAGAACCAGTTTCAAGGATTTTCACTGTAAAATGTGATTACACTCTTTGCTCTGGTTCTTGTTGGATCTGTGTCAGTGGGTCAGGATTCAGATATAGGGCAGAACTGTAGAACCTCCATGAGTCTGAGTTTATCCTGTTAGAATCAGGTTCTGTCCCTCACAACAAACTGGAATCCAGCAGTTTCAGAGCAGGGGGTTGGAGACACTTGGTTCAAACAGACCAAACGGCTCACACTGCATCATACCTGACCTTCTGTTGGTCAGGACCAAGAGGAGAGGAAGAAACTCAAGGCAACACCGTCATTGGTAGAACATCAATATTTGGACTGATCTGACTGACAGCAACCAGTACAAAGAACAGGGAGTGAGACATCAAATCTGTACCTCCTGTCTCTGGTTCTCTGGACACTCTTCGTTCAGACCAACCAAGAACTAATTAACTTCTTAACTAATTATTAACCATCTCGGATTCTGAGGACCAACAGGACACATACTTTTATGCTTGTCATTTAACCAAAATTACCGTAACTCAATCATTTTGGACCAATCAGACTGAATGTTGGACTAAAGAGCAGGACTCTGATTGGACCAAACATTTACTTTTAATCAAACTGAGCAGAAGAGTTTTATTTTTAAACCAGATTCAGAAGGCAGCCTGGATTATCCTGATGATGTTAACCCTAGATGTGAGTCTGATTTGTATTTCTGTGGTTTTTACTGTCTCTATCTCCCTGGTGTTAATAAACAAACTTCAAACCAGCTGTAACAGATTCTATCTGTCCAGTTACTCCTGACTGAACCCTTCGGGTCTCTGGTCTGGTTGTCTGTCTTGAATTAATACAATTAAAGATGACGTCTGGTCTACCCACCTGTTGGTCCACAGTGTCCCGGTTCTCCAGTCCCAGACTGATGCCCCGGCTCAGCAGGAAGCGAGCTCTGTCCATCTCCCCGTTGTCTGACGCCAGCATTGACCTTCAGACCATGATCCGGACCTCACCCAACTCCCTGGTGGCGTACATCAATAACTCCCGGTCCAGCTCGGCTGCCAGCAGTTCTTATGGACACCTGTCAGTCGGAGGACTCAGGTACTCCCACTCACCTGGAGAAGCAGACAGATGTAGTTTTGGTTTCTGATCTTGAGTTATTCTAAACTTCAAACACCCAGATCCTGTTCTTTTACTTTGTATTTACACATTCCACTTTGGATTTACTGCATTTTAATATCAAAATTAGAAACAAACAATACAGTCAGGTTCAAATACAAGATAGGTACTGATTACTTATTTAGTACGTATGTGGTATCTGAGGGGTTAGGTTGTATTATGAAGTGACTTGTTACCCAAAACATACAGCCAACGTACTGAATACATACCTGGTTAAGTACACAGTACACACTGCAAGTAAGAACATTATTATTACTATTTAAATAAAGTTTACTTACTTACTATTAAGTACCATGTATGACAGTTACGGGTATGTATATATACACTACTATGATATATAATGAAGCAACTTGTTTTCAGAAACTTAAATAATTACGTACTAGGTACAAACCTTACAGATGCCCAGTATGTTTATTGCTGTTACCTGTAAGTATCCTGTGGTTACCTGATATCTAGTTACCCAGTATGTACTCTGTAAGTACCTGTAAGGATCCTGTAGTTATCTGTATGTTTCCTGTAAGTAGCTGTAAATACCCTGTTGTTACCTGGTACATACCCTGTAAGTACCATGCAGTTACCTGTACGTACCCAACACAAGTTTCTGTAATGTTTATTTTCCTGCTGAGTTTTGTGTTTTCTTTGTTTTCGGTTCTGCAGCCCATCGTTTCCGTTCCCTCATCCCATCAACTCCGTGGCCTACCAGCAGCTCCTCTCCCAGCAGCGAGGTCTCAGTGCCTTCGGGCACAACCCGCCCCTCCTGCAGACTCCGCCCACTTTCTCTGGACACCAGTCGGGCTTGAGCCTTTCCTCAATGAATGTCTCCTCCCACAACAACGACCTGATGTCCAAGGTGATCCAGAAACGAGTTTAAAAGTTCAGTTCTGGCCTGAGGGGATCCGCAGAGTTTGGGAAGTTCTTTGTTTGTAAACCAGTCCAGGGCTCTGGTTTCAGTCTCTGACTCTGGACTTAAAGGCCCCTCATCCAGCTCTTAAAACAACTGTTTATCCAAACGTTTCATCTTCAGCTCCAGTTTCCATCTGTTTGTTCTCGCTGTAGATTTGGTTTGTCATCAACTTGTTAGATGTTGGTTCTGTTGCCTCCCCCCCTTGCTGGGTCACAGTGTTAGGATTTGTGGTCCACCAAGCAGTACCCCCCTCTCTCTGAGGTAAACTCAGTGGGGGAAACCCATCATTTATTTCCACCCATGCAGTTTCTTTCCATCAGTAGGTCAGAGGTCAGTAAGGGCATCATGATTAATTTTTAAAATTCTAATTATTTAACAACAAAGATGTATTTATCCACCAGACTTCTCAGGTTTAAAAACTATCTTAAAATCATTAACTTTGAAACGGAGTCTTCTTCTGGTGTTTGACATCCGTCAGCAGAATCCTTTCATCCACAGAAACTCAATACTTGTACATCCATCCATCCATTATCTATACCCGTTTATTCCTTTTCTAGAGTCACGGGGGTCACTGGTGCCCATATCCAGCAGTCATAGTGCGAGGGGCGGGGTATAATACTTATACMGATTTTTTATTATTATTATTTTTATATAAGCAAATTTACTTCAAAACCTAGCCAGATCACTGAAGCTGACCAATTAAGCTTGTCTGGGGGAGGGGTTAACTTCTTCAGCTTCATTTTATCATTAAATGTGTTAATAACTTAACTGATTATGTAAAGCTGACATGATCCCTCTGCAGAAATGTTYAGTCTGATTTATCTGTTTTCAGAATCATGGAGGCGACCCGGCAGTCAGCAGCACTATGGACCCAATGATTAACAAGAGGTCAAAGGTCAAGGCAGAGGGACTGAGGCCAGTGTCTTCTCTCTCACCGGTAAAAAATACTTAAAGAACTAATAAATCAATAGAATTAAACCATATATTTAAAGAAAGAGAACAGAAAATACTTAGTGTTTTTACTACGAGATGCTACAAGTCATTACGAGTCACTTTGTGTGGCTATGAGATGCTACAAATTGCTATGAGTCACTATGAACTGCAATAATTCACTACGAGTCACTACGTATGTGTGGATATGAAGTGCTACAAGTCACTATGAGTCACTATGTCTGCAACAAGTCACTGCTTTGTTTGATATTTGAGGATGTTCTTGTAAAATGATGCTTTTCAGGACAGTCAAACATTTACTAAAGTACAAACAGATCAGATCTGTTCTTTGGGGCCATTTGGACTCTGTTTGGTGTCAACACATTCCCCTCTCTGGGTCCTGATCCGTGGCACCTCAGGCCCCTGGGAGCCTCTGGCTTCACTGACCTCCTTGTAAATCTGGACTCGGATAAAGAAAATCTCCACATGATAAGAGCTTTGCCCCCCCTCACTCCCGTCCCTCCCCGGCTACAGTAAACTGTGCCACGGCGCTTCATTTTCATGAAATATTGGTGGGGCTTTATTGTCATGTGAGGAGGCTTTTTCTTCTTCTTTTGACAAATCTGCGGCTGCTCTCCGGCAGCGCGGCAGCTTTGGTCGTGATGCATGGGGACAGCGCCGAGCGCAGGCGTCTGGGGGCCACCAGAATTGATGAAGAGAGTGTGTGTGGGGCAGAAACAAAGCTGCTGCCGTCAGCACGTTGAGGGGCTGAGAGTGTGTGCGTCGGAGGTACGGGAGCCTGGATGGGACACACACTGTGTGTGCATGTTTTTTTTCAATTTCAACACAAAATCTGGGGACCTCTTTACAAGGAAGCATGCTCTACAAGGAGTTGAACATCAGCTAAATCTCTACATCCCTATAATCTCACCCGATCCCTCAGATCAGCTGATCAGCTGCTCCTGAGGGTCCCTAAAACCAGATTCAAACTTCAGGGGGATCAAACTTCTGCTGCAGCAGCTCCTAAACTTTGGAATGAGCTACCTCTCCCACTTAGACAGTCCTCTTCACTGGCTGTCTTTTAAACTCGTCTTAAAACCCTCTTCTTTCTTTGGCTTTTGACACTGTGATGGGTTGTGTTGTCCATTTGTACCAGATTTTATTTTTTGTAGAAATTTTCTTGATTTTATTGTCGATTTTAAAGTAGGTCTTAAGCATTTTACTTTTTTTTATTTCCTGCTTTTATTTTTTCCTGTGTTGTTTTGATTGAATTYGTTTTGCATGAGCTATGTTTGAATGTTGATTCTGTACAGCACTTTGGTCTGCTGTGGTGCAAAAAGTGCTTTACAAATAAAACTGGCTGGGATTGGAGCTAAATATGAGCTTTACACAAGCTAAATGAGCAGAACTCAAGCTAAATATGAGCTGAAAACCAGTTAAATATGAGCAGAACACAAGCTAAAGTATATGTTGTAAACATGTTTTTCTTTTCATTAACTTCTTATTGACTTCTACGTGAAAGATGATAATGTTTTACTTTTGTAAAATTCAAGACTTTTTTTGATGTGTGTCACCTTTTCAGAAAACTTTTATGAAGACATTTTGGAGAAAAGAGGTTTTTTTAGAAATAAGATTTAAAAAACTACTCTAAACAGAAGTAGTAAAAACAGAATAATGGCAGAGCATTGTTAAAATATTGAATCTTTTTACAAAGGAGACTTTTTAATGTGTTAAATATTTAGTTTCAGAAGATTGTGGAGTTCTGGGTTTGTTTGGGTTCACGTGGTTAAATTAGAAAGAAGCTGCAGTTTAAAACCAACGTTGGGTGTTTGCAGGTAAAATAAATCTGAGTCCAGCTTCTTTAACTTCAGCTGTTTTCACTTTATTCTGTAATTTAGAGACAAACAGCTGAGCTGTTTTCTTTTTGTTTGAAAAACAATTGGATGAACCCTATTTTCCTGCTGCTACAGTTTCACTTTTGTTTGAACAGAACCGTCACAGCGGCCTGCTGGACCTGAAGGAGGACATGGACCGAGACGAGTGTAAACCAGAACCTGAAGCCGTCTACGAGACCAATTGTCACTGGGAAGGCTGCAGCAAGGAGTTTGATGCCCAGGACCAGCTGGTCCATGTAAGTACAGGAGGGAGGGATGTAGCTTAGACAGCCATGTTTGTCTTAACCTTTACAACTTAAATATCGCTGTATGACCCACGTGACGTGAGCGTAATCCACTGCGTGGTGCGATGACGTATTTACATAATGAAATTAGCATATCATGATATAATTAATTTTGCCGGGCTAGTTTTATTTTTTATTTTTTACCTGTATTATCGTGAATGATATGGCCCAACCCTACTTAGACCTTTAACTTACCAGAGCTAACATTAGCTCAGCCTAGCACTTTGGCTGACCAGATATAACATTAGCACAACCTAGCACTTTGGCTGACCAGATATAACATTAGCTTAGCCTTTGACAAACCTTAGCTCACTTCTCTTTTTTTACTTAAACTGTGGTACTTCATCTTCAAAAACAGWATTGCATGGTTTGACCTTTAGAGTAAAGATCAGTCTGTTTTCTGTTTATGGATAGTTTTTCTCTGTAAAATGATGGTCTCAAAAGATGTTTGACTGTTCCCAGACTTATGGTCAGCTGTGTCTCTTCAGTCTCTGCTGATGACTTTCCACCTTGGTGGAATCTGTTGTGTTTTTATTTAGCTGTCATTCATGGCAGGATCAGACTGGTATTTAAACTTTGATAAAAACGCTTGTTTGAATGTCTCTACTGGATCAGTCTCCTCCTTCAGATGTTTCTAATTAACATATTTTGTTATAAAAACATTAAAAATCAGCAAGCTAGGTTTTCCCGTCTCCCTTATCTTTTTGTCACAATGGTGTCAGAGGTGGGATTCCTCCTGTGATTCTTACATCTGAGCTGAGGTTCAACTCTACGACCACAGAATACAAAACCTCAAAAAGGTTTTGAGACAATCTCAGCAGACCTCTGAAATCCAAACCTACAAACCTGAATTTGTGTTTTGTTGAACACAAATTTTGTTGAGTTTTGTTGAGGTCTTTTTTTTTTTTTCATTTTTATTTCTTTCGCCTTTTGTCCCAAATGAAGGATAAGGTCATTGTTAGTTTTGTCAAATTCAAACTGTGAGTGAAACTGTATTTTTAATTAGTAACATGCTGYTGTCGTCCTGTGGGATCCCCTGATAAGACAGATCTGTACAGAAACATGAGAGACTCTGGGTGGACAGAAGCCCCACCCCCTCATTTCTGCGTGTCTTTGTTTCACGCAGCACATCAATAATGACCACATCCATGGAGACAAGAAGGAGTTTGTGTGCCGCTGGGACGACTGCTCGCGGGAGCAGAAGCCCTTCAAAGCTCAGTACATGCTGGTGGTTCACATGCGCCGGCACACCGGGGAGAAGCCACACAAGTGCACGGTGAGTAACGGATGGTCTCGCTGCTGCCGCCACGGGCCCCTGAAGGGCCTCCAATGAGCCCCTGGAGGGCAGCAACTCACACTCTCTAAACACTGGCTACTACCAGCCTGAAGGCAGGGTTTACTACCTACACACATACAAACACACACAGAATCCCATCTACACACACACACACACACACACACACACACACACACACAC